CCCTGTCTCGAAAAAAAAACAAAAAAACAAAAACATAAATAAAGGTTTTTTTTTTTTTTTTTAAAAAAAAAAAAGCTGGTTAGAAACAAGCCAAGCTAAGGCTGGGCATTCGTAAGTAAGAATAAGTCTCCATGTATTTATTTGGGAGATGAGTAGAGGACCCCTTAGAAGTTAAAAATAAAGAGCAAACAACTACAGTGGGGGCCACAAGACCTGTTCTGGTCTGTGATCTGAGGAGAGCTCATGCCGTCTGAGCTTGGGCATTTGAGCTGGGAGTTTCAAGGCTTCGTGGCTGTTTATTCTTTTTCTTCTTTGTTTTTGTTTTTGTTTTTGTTTTTGAGACAGGGTCTCTGTATCCCTGATTGTCTTGGAACTCTTTATAGACCAGACTGGTCTTGATCTGCCTCCTGAGTGCTGGGATTAAAGGCCTGACTGAGAGTGGATCTTTTCTTTCTTTCTTCCTTCCTTCCTTCCTTTCCTTTCTTCCTTTGTTTCTTTTCTTTCTTTTATTCTTCTTTCTTTCTCTTTTTAATTATTTATTTTTATTTTGTGTGCATTGGTGTTTTGCCTGCATCTATGTCCATGTCAGGGTGTTGGATCCTGGAGTTACAGACAGTTGTGAGCTGCCATATGAGTTCTGGGAATTGAACTCAGGTCCTCTGAAAGAGCAGCCAGTGCTCTCACCCACTGAGCCACCTTTTCAGCCCTGAAGCCGGATCTTTTCATCCTATTTCCTTCAGTGGCAATTGTTGGAGGCTTCAAGGACTTGGTGGAGTGGAGGTAGAGGGTGACGTCGCTGGGCATCAGCTAAATAAATCACACACATGGTAACTTCAGAAAGAAGCTAGCGGCAAGCCCGTGTATTGTGGTGTGCCTGGCTGGAATGTTCAGGGCTGGGGTGTGGCTGGGGATGTGGTGTGAAGCTAGGCAGGTGTGGTAAGGACTGAGGATGGTGGTAGGGTGGGAATTCTAAGCTTGTACCATCACCTCAGAGACCAGAAAGTGGCAGACTTGGTGGCATGGGGCATCAGAGAAGCAGATTGGGACTGAGGGCAGAGGGCAGACGGAATCGATGCCAATGTGGAGCAGCTCTGGGATGGACTCAAGGGCTCTCAAGTGTGATCCATTTTGACTGCCAACTCCAGGCAGACACACCAGGGCACCCAGCAGCATATATACACACTCCCAGTGCCTGGGAAGCAGAAACCAGAGGGGTTAGGGTTTGAGAATCATTCTTAACTACATAAGGGGTTTTAGGGCAGCCTGGGTTACAGGAGATCCATCTCAAAAACCCATAATTTGACTTTGAGATGGCTTAGCAGGTAAAGGCTCTTGCCACCAACCCTGCCCTGAGCTTGATCCCAGGATCCACATGATGGAAGGAGAGCTCCTCCACTCCTGTGGCATGGACATGTGGTGAGCTTGTACACACACAATAGGACATTAGGACTTCATTTAAAAATAAATAAACTATAAATCATACACATAACACATACATAGGTTTATACTTACACTTGCCCCAGTTTGCCTGAAAATGTTTCTGTGTCCACCATTTTCCCTCCAGCTCTCCCCAACTCCCTTCCCCCGTCTCCCATCCCCACTCTGACTTGACTTACTGGTAGAGGAAGAGGCCTTGGTGCTGCCTTGGTCTCCACAGCTTCACCTCTAAACAAAGAAGAACCCACCCCCCATGGGGGGCAGGGTTTCAAGTCAGGGTTTGCACCTTACATTGGCCCTGAACCCCCAGCACACTCAGGCCTGTTACCCTAGCCTTGCCCCTTTGTTTTCACCTCAGTGCACTCTCATTGCCTTACCTGCATGCAGACAGACCTACAGACCAAAGATGGGGAAACTGAGGCCTGGCAGCATGCAACTTAACCAAGGTGTTTCATGAGCCAGAAATGAAAAACACCACACCGTTTTATATATGTAGCTTTTTAAAAATTATGTTTGTTTGCTCATCTTGTGTTAGCACAAATGTGGAAATCAGAGGACGGATGGACAGTGGGATTCAGTGGGTCTGTAGGGTGTCAATTTTAGGTCACAATATTTAGTGGCAAGCATTTTTACCTGTTGGGCCATCTTACTGACACAGTTATTTGTGTGTGTGTGTGTGTGTGTGTGTGTGTGTGTGTGTGCATTCCACAGCACAAGTGTGGAGGTCAGAGGACAACCTGCACAAATTGGTTCCCTCCTTCCACTATGTTAAATCCCTGGGGGTTAGTTTAGTTCTTCAGGTTAGCAGCAAGCATCTTTACCCACTGAACCATCTCCTCAGCCTCCATGTTGTTTTGAGACATGGCCTCTCATTGGCCTGGAACTGACTAGGCTAACTGGCCAGTCCTGGTCCCAGGATCCACCTGTTGCCATCTCTCTAGTGCTGGGATTACAAGCATGTGCCTCTGGGCCCAGCTTTCTTCCCGGGAAATCAATCTCAGGTCTTCATGCTTACAAAGTGGGCCCTTGACCAACTGAGCTGGCTCCCTGGCCCCATCTCCAGTGTTACTTAGCTGTAGAGTCACCCACAGGTAGAGGGAGCAGCGAACAGGGCAGAGATGGCCCTGGAGGATGACTTACCCCTCTTTGTGTGGTCGAGGGATTGGTGCCGATGACAAGACGGGCCGGGCCTTCTTTTCCTCCACAGTCGCCATGGGTTTGGGTGGCACTGCCTCCTGGGGACTGTCCTTGTGTGTCCCCGAGCTGGGTGTTGGCATGGGCCTGACCTGTGGGAGGCCTGCGTTACTGGGGGGGTCATCCTCCAGTGGCTGACTCCTGCTGCCCGAGGCGCATGGCTTTTCCAGATGACCATCTGTGTCTCCTTGAGTGGGAAGAACCTGAGAAATTAAGAAGATGGCCTGAGAAAAGCTACTTCTGACTTCCTAAGGGGGTTTCAGAGGACAGACCTTAACATACTTCTATTATATGGTATATTTTTTCTAAAGATTTTTTTTTGAGGGGGTGGGTTTCGAGACAGGGTCTCTCTGTATAGCCCTGGCTGTCCTGGAACTTGATCTGTAGACCAGGCTGGCCTTGAACTCTCAGAGATCTGCCTGCTTCTGACTCCCAGTTGCTAGGATTAAAGGCATGTGCCACCACCACATGGCCCAAAGATGTGTTATTTATGTGTATGTGTCTGTGTGAATGTATGTATGTGCACTTGGAGGCCAGAAGACGACATTAGATCCTAGAGTTACAGGTGGTTGTGAGACACTATGTGGGATTCTGGGAACTGAACTCCAGTCCTCTGGAAGAGCAGCCAATGCTCTTAACTCTGAGCTATCTCTCCAGCCCAATTTTATACATATGTGTATGTGTGTGTGTGTTTGTGTGTGTGTGTGTGTATTTTGTATCGTAACATATGTATATATGCACACATATATATCTCGTTTTTGTTTTGTTCTTGCTTTGGGAAAGGGTCTATGTAACCCTGGATGTGCTAGAACTCACTATGTAGACCAGGTTAGCCTCAAACTCAGAGATCTATCTGCCTCTGCCTCCCGAGTACTGGGATTAAAGGCATGCACCATCACTACCCGGTAAGACCCTGCCTTAAAAAAAATGCTGATTTGGGACTTGGGGCTAGACTTCAAAATGAAGAAAAACCAAGAATATATGCCTTTAATCCCAGCAATTGGGAGGCTGAGGCAGGCGGATCTCTGTAAGTGCGAGACCAGCCTGGTCTACAGAGCGAGTTCCAGGACAGCCAGGGCTACACAGAAAAACCCTGTCTCATTAAAAAGGGGGCGGGGGAGAACCAAGAGTATTGTATTGGGCAGTGTTACATTGTTTTCTTCTAATAACGAATGTAGAAATGAGAAAAATAAGGAAGTAAAAAGTCTGTTTGTTATTAAGTTTTGGAATGGCCAGCATGTCTTGCAAAGGCTCAGTGAACACGGGGTGAGATATGTCACAGTCATTCTCTTAAACACAGCATCATCCGTCACACAACCCTCTCCCTGCCCTCTCCCCAAGACACCGAGAGGGCCTCTCTGTAAACAAGACCTGAGGGGAACACTGTGATTCCAACTGCCAGAACCATTTAGTGACCCAGGGAGACTGAGTGTCTGCCAGCTCCAGTGCACAGCCTCCACCAACACAAGTACATCTGTGTTGGGGGCAGAGAGGGCCCTTTGCCCCTCTCCACGGGTGCCCATTCCCTCTTTCTGATCTCCCAGGGTTACCTGGCAGCTCTCAGTGGGATGAATCTCTTTGGCCTCGGTGCTTTGCCATCTCTCCTGTTGATCCTTGGTTGGCGTGGTTGGCTGTGGCTGCTCTTCAGAGGTCACACACTCCCCGCCAGGCTGGGCTTGCTCCTGGTCAGCTTGTAGATCCTTCGGCCCTTCCTCGGTTGCCAAAGATGACTGGCTCCTTGTGGAAAGAACAGACAACAGACACTTCACCCCAGCCTGGGTGCAGCTCCTCAGAACCCTGCCCAGAACTAGGCATCTTAGGGGTCCATACTTACTGCCTGGGAGAGTAAGTGAGGGACAGATACACACCTGAGTCTCAGCACCTTAATGTGAATGTTGAGGTGGTTACACTCTCACACTTTTTTAAAAAAAGATTTATTTTTATTTTATATTTTGCCTTCATGTATGTCTATGTGTGAGGATGTTAGATCTTGAAATTACAGACAGTTGTGAGTTGCTCTGTGGGTGCTGGGAATCAAACCCCGGTCCTCTAGAAGAACAGTCAGCGGTCTTAACCACTGAGCCATCTTTCCAGTGTTTTGTTAGAAAGAGAAGGGGATGCTGGTGGTGATGGAGAAAGAGGGAGAGAGAAGAGAAGGAGAGGACTTTATGTGTGACAGGGGATATAGTTCTTTGGTACAATACTTGCCTGGCATGCACAAAGCCCTAGGTTCAACACACACGCACACACACACACACACCAAAGAACTGGGTTGAGAGACTTGGGCACAGAGTCATAAAGCTTAAGATAGCATCGGGATTGCCGGATTGGAACCTGTATGTCCCTAGCCTCTTTAATCTGAGTTTCTGTTCTTCACCAGCCCCTTTGCTCCCTCCTGTCTTCCCTTCCTTCCTTAGGGTTTTGCTCTGTCCCCTAGGCTGGCCTCAAACTCCTAGTCCTCCTGCCTTAGCCACCTCTGTGCTGGGGTCACAGGTGTGTGCCACCCCCTGCCTGGAGCTTTCTTCTTGAGGCTCTCTCTGATGCATAACCCACTGTCAGGGGATTCATTAGATGGCTGTCTTCACATGACTTCATAGTCTACATATTCACAGTGCATAATTAACATGCTAAAAAGCCTTCATATACACAGTGCACAGTTTCCTTTTTATGTTTCCATTAGCATATGTTCATTGCACGGGTTTCGTTTTGACATTTATACATGGATGTAAAAATGATGATGTTCCCCCTTCGTTACCTTTTCTTCCCCTTCCACTCCCTCCCCCCCCAGCCCCCCTTTTCATTTCAGGTCTGTTTTTTGTTGATGACTGAATAACTTTCATGAGGGTTGTGGACAGGAGCACAGGTGACGCAGGGGCACCTCAGCATCAGCGACACCATTGAAGGGATGTTTTCCCTCCCCAGCAGCCATGGACTGCCTAAGGTCCTCAGGAGGAGTGGGGCCTCACGAGTCCCTCCTCCCTGCAATAAACACACTTTTGAGTGAGCATACAAAATCCCATATCCTAGATGAGTGGTGGTGCACACCTTTGATCCCAGCACTCGGGAGACAGAGGCAGGCCTGGTCTACAGAGTTGAGTTTCAGGACAGCAAGGACTGTATAATATAGAAACCTTGCCTCAAAACAAAACAAAACCAAAAATTCCATTATCTTAACAACAATAATGAAACATTTCTTCTTTTAATTTGTTTATATTTTTATGAGTACTCTGTATATACACCTGTCCGCCAGAAGAGGGCATCAGATCCCGTTATAGATGGTTGTGAGCCACCTTGTGGTTGCTGGGAATTGAACTCAAGACTTCTGGAAGAGCAGCCAGTGCTCTTAACTTCTGAGCCTTCTCTCCAGTCTGAAATATTTCTGTTATGTTCACTTTAATTTTTTTCAAGATAGTGTTTCTCTGTAGCTTTGGAGCCTGTCCTGGTGCTGGTCTACAAAGTGAGTTCCAGGACAGCCGGGGCTGCACAGAGAAACCCTGTCTCAAAACAAACAAACAAAAGCAAAAGAGGTTTGGAGAGGAGGCTCAGTGATTAAGAGCACTGACTGCCCTTCCAGAGGACCCAGGTTCAATTCTCAGCACCCACATGACAGCTTACAACTATCTGTAACTCCAAGATCTGACACCCTCACACCAACGCACATAAAATAAAAATAAATTATGTAAAAAAAAAAAGAATTTAGTTTGATTGACGCTCTGAATTGGATCAAAGGCCTCCAATCAGTGAGGGAACACTTGCCACCCTAGCACCTGGGTTTGATCTCAGCAGGGGTGGGTGGGGGAAGAGTAGGAAGGTAGGGAGAAGCATGGAGTGTTGCAGCCACTAGATCTCAGGTCTCCCCCTTTTCTGGGACGTCCCCCGCAACTCACTCTGGTCTTGCTGAGAGCTGTTCCTGGATCTCAAGTTCCCTTGGCCCCTCCTGGGGTGATCCTGTGTGTCCGAGCTCCCCCTCTGGTCCTCTAGGAGCTACAGACTGCTTTTCTCTCTCCTTTTCCTTGGCATCTGCAAGCCCAGCCTGAAACAGAGACATGAGTGGGTTGGCTCAAGGGCAAGGTGCTGGGGCCCTTCTCTTGTTCCTCCTGTGTCTGCCTATGTCTGGGAGGTGCTGGAGAGAGGGGACGAGAAAGACCAGGGGCGCCTGGAGGTAGGTGGTAGGCCTGGCCCTGCTGCTTAGCATTGTGAACTCTGGTGTAAAACTGGAAACCAGTGGAATATGAGCCAAAGGATTGTGTTGAAGAGTGAGTCCTCCCACACAGCACCATCATCCCATGGCCCAGATGCTGGACTTCTTAGACAAGGTTACTCTGTGTAGCCTTGGCTGTTCTAGAACTTGTTCTGTAGACAAGGTTGGCCTTGAGCTCAGAAATCCGCCTGCCTCTGCCTCCTGAGTGCCACCACTGCCCGGCATTTTTTAGTTTTTTGAGATAGTGGTTGTGATATATAGCCTAGGCTGGCTTTGAACTTGACCATCTTTTTTTAAATTATTATTTATTTATTATGTATTCAGTGTTCTGCCTGCATGTATCCCTGCAGGCCAGAAGAGGGCACCAAATCTCATTACAGATGGTTTGAGCACATGTGGTTGCTGGGAATTGAACTCAGGACCTTTGGAAGAGCAGGCAATGCTCTTAACCACCGAGCCATCTCTCCAGCCCCCTTGACCATCTTTTTGCATCAGCCTGCATCCTAAAGCAACAGGTGTGTTCCACCATGGCCCACCTGTTGTTTTCTATTTGAATTATTGCTGCCTTTTAAGATACAACTGTCCTAGTCAGCAACTGTAACTCGGCAGATGTTGATGCAGCCTGAGGAAATTCTGTTCCCCCAGGCACCGACTCTTTCAGATATGAACTTGTCTAAATCTCTGTCCCTCTAAAAAACTCACGATTCAAAGGTTGAAGTGGAATTCTGCTCCCCAGAGGGGCTGAATAGCAAGCAGGTCACCTCACGTCTCCCAAGAAGTTCTCATGCTTCTCTTCGCCCCTCCTTATAAACTTTCTCCAGCAGGGTGGTGGTGGCATGCACCTTTAATCCTAGCACTTAGAAGGCAGAGGCAGGTGGATCTCCGCAAGTTTGAGGCCAGCCTGGTCTACAGAGTTAGTTCCAAGACATCCAGGGCTACACAAAAAAAACCAGGTCTCAAAAAACAAAAATAAAAATTCTTCTCCACCTGGCTCCTCCCTACAACTTCCAGTCAGCTAGTTGCTAACGCAGCCTCCTGGCTGCAGGTGAATTTTCTTTAATCAAACACATCTTTGCATCATTAAACATTCCAGAGCATAAACAAAAGTAACACACCTTAAAATAATATTTTACAGCACTCAACCCGGGATTTTTTAGTTTTAATCTCCATCTTGTCCATCAGTTGCCAGTAGGGTGGAGCGTAAGCCAACATAGCTCCTAGCCTCAGAGGTCAGCAAACACCACGTAGCCCATTAACTAATGGATGAAGGTTCTTTTTTATCTACTTGTTTTTACTTTATGTGCATTGGTGTTTTGCCTGCATGTGTGTCTGTGTAAGGGTGTCAGATTCCCAGAAACTGGAGTTCGAGACAGCTATGAGCTGCCATGTGGGTGCTGGGAATTGAACCTGGGTCCTCTGGAAGAGCAGCCAGTACTCTTAACTGCAGAGCCATCTCTCCAGCCCCATGGATGAAGTTTTGTTTTGTTTTGTTTTCCAGAAGATTCTAGTGGGAGCCAACTCTAGTGGGTGCCTACAGCGAGACAGGGCCTCAACACACTTAGTCCAGGTCATCGTTACCATGACAAACACACACACACAAAACGATGAAAGGGGTTCAGAGATGCCTCAAGGTCACGGAGCTAATTAAGTAGCAGGATCAGAACCCCATGTTTGCTTGCTGAGAAGATGAGTAGAAGGTGATAAAGGAGGCCCAGAATGTTCACCAAGGGTTCCTTTAAAAGACTAAACATGTGTGACGTGTGATCCACAGACTCCCATCTGGGATTAACAGCTGGTTGGTTTCAGGAAGGCAGCCGGATCATGAGGGTTCTGCTTTCCCTAATGGAGTCATGCCTTGCTGGAATATTAGCATGGTGGCTTTGTGGGGAGGGGGTGCATTGGTCTGGGTTAGGAACATGCTTCGGTGGCAGGTGACAGGTATCCACAGAGGGTGGACTTGTGGTTAGCTGTGGTTGTCAACTTGACCAGATGAAGAAATGCTTGGGGGCTTGATGGGGTGTTTTGTGGTCTTTAATGCTAGCACTTGGGAAGCAGAGGCAGGTGGATCTATGTGTTTGAGGCCAGCTGGTCTACAGAGCATTCCAGCACAGCCAGGGCTACACAGAGAAACTGTGTCTTGAAAAAAAAACAAATGAGCTGGACGGTGGTGGCGCTCATCTTTAATCCCAGCACTCGGGAGGCAGAGGCAGGCAGATCTTTGCGTGAGTTCGAGGCCAGCCTGGTCTACAAGACCTAGTTCCAGGATAGGCTCCAGAGCTACAGAGAAACCCTGTCCTGAAAAAAAAAAAAAAAGAAACAAAGAAAAAGAAAAACTAAACAACAACAAAAGGAAAGGAGGAGACCAGCGCTAGGGATGGAGAACTGGAAATGAAGGCCTGCCCACCTGACTGACTGACACAGTGGACTCCAAATCTGTCTTCTTTTTGGTGGAATTCAGGTCAGGACTTGATTGGACCGCTGGAGCCTCCTCCATGTTCTCTGGGTGTGTCTGGGTGTTTGTGTTTTCCATCGTTCTGGAGCCAGTAAGATTCCCAAGCCAGGGGCATGAGCTGCTGTTACCAAGGAGAGATCCAGTCAAGCTCCCACCTACCGGCCCGAGACCCCATGGCTGCATCTCTGCTGCTCCTGAAGCCGGGGGAGAGCAGGTCTGGACTCGGGAGGAGCATGGCCACCCTGTCAAAAAGGAGCCTGCACTTAAGGAGGAGTCAGTCCTATGTAGCAAGAGCTCATCCGATTCTTTAATTTCCACAATTAGCCTGAGGAAGAGGCTCAGGAAACACGCCCCAGGTCTAGACGAGGTCGGACGTACGACTGTTGCAAACGCCAGACCTTGGGCTCATTCCCCACAGCTCCATGCTGCTCCATCCTCAAGCCGGCCTGAGCTGGAGGGAATGGAAGCCTGGCCTCATCGAAATGAAAAATAGAGTGTCTTGCAGGACATCTCAGAGCTTTTAAAACCCTAGTAGACACTTAAAAGTCTGCCCATTAGGAGCTGGGGTGTGGCTAAATTGGTAGTGTGCTTGCCTAGCTTACACAAGCCCGCTTCTCCCACATCCCATTCCATCCTGGCTTCCAGTCACTGAATCCCTCTCTCTCTCTCTCTCTCTCTCTCTCTCTCTCTCCCCCCTCCCTCCCTCTCCCTCTCCCTCTCTCTGTGTGTGTGTGTAGGCCCGAAGATTATCTCAGGTGTATTTCTTCAAATACCAGCCAGATTTTCACCCTCCCCCCACCCAGACGGGGTTTTTCTGTGTAACAACTCTGGCTGTCCTGGAACTCACTTGTAAATCAGGCTGGCCTCGATCTCACAGAGATCTGCCTGCCTCTGCCCCCCAAGTGCGCTACCACTGCCTGATATTTTTTTTTAACCTTTTTAGCTGTTTTTTGTTTTTAAGATAGGGCCTCTCTCATTGGCCTGGAACTTGCTAAGTGAGCTAGACTGGTCGGCCAGTGAACCTCAGGGATCTGCCTGTCCCTGCTACTCCAGCACTGACATTTAAAGTTTGTAGGACTTATGCCTGGCTTTGTTTGTTGTTGTTTAAGATTTGTTCATTTTGTCGGGCGATGGTGGCACACACCTTTAATCCCAGCACTCAGGAAGCAGAGGTAAGCAGATCTCTCTGTGAGTTCGAGGCCAGCCTAGTCTACAGAATGAATTTCGGGACAGCCAGAGATACACAGAGAAACCCTGTCTCAGAAAAAAAAAAAAGATTTATTCATTTTTCTTTACATATATGTCTGTGTGCCTGTGTGAGTTTATGTTCACCATGTGCACGAAGGTTCCCAGAGAGGATTGGAATAGCAGTGGTTGTGGCACCATATGGGTACTGGGAACTGTACCTGGGTCCCCTGCAAGAAGACACAGTGCTCTAACCACCGAACCACCTCCCTGACTCTCCCATATTCCCCCCTTTACAAACAAATCAAAATAGGGGTTTTGGTAACTAAAATCAGGTCCTCATTCTTACAAAGCAAGCTGTTTACTGGCTGAACCATCTCCCCAGCCCAAGCTCCTTTAGGGCAACATCTTGGCTGCTTCTCATATCCACCAGTTCTCAGAGGTCAATACCCCCTCCCCATAGGGAGAGCCTGTGACCTGGAGGTTCTTGGAGACCTTCCCTTCTAAGCCTCAGCAGGCCAGCTACTGTCCATGGAATGACCTCCTCGCTGCCGGAAGTTCTTCAGCGGGATTCTCTTCACAGCCCTGTGAGGTTCCTGTTGCAGAGAAAACAGTAGCTTAGAGTCACCCAACGTTTTTACCCAGCACTACCTTGCTCATCTCCAAGTGGATTAAAACCCAGATCTGTCAACTCCCCAGATGGCACTACTCACAGGGTTGTCCTGCCTATTGAAAGCAGGGGCCCCTTGTTTACCGTTTAAAGACAATCGTCTGTACCACTTAAGTGCTAGGGTGCCTTCTCACACACCCTAGGGATACAGATAATTTCTGCTGACACAGTCCCCAGTTTTCTCCTCTTGCTCCTCCAATCCCCTTCTGTTAACTCACCTACCTTCCCACAGTGAGCCAGACCCTGTACCCCAGCTCCTATGCGACCCAGGTTCTCAAATGGCAAAAGAAACTGTGGCTGTGGCTAAGTTTTCCTTTCTTCTCCTGTGGTTTGTCACTTTCCCCCCACCTCTTTCCCATTAAGGACCCCCTAACCATCCCTCCTCTCTGGAGCTGTGCTGCTCCAGAGGGGGCTGACCCGTCTGGGAAAATTCTCCTCAGGCCCCAGACACACCTTTCTTTGTCCACTGTTTCCATCTCAACCCCAGAATCCTCAGCTCTTAGTGTTCTACAAACCACAGATTCCCCCACCCCCAAGATTTGTTATGTAACAGTGTTCTGCCTCATGTATGCCTGCAGGCAGAAGAGGGCGCCAGATCTCACTACCATGTGTCACCATGTGGTTGCTGGGACTTGAACTCAGGACCTTTGGAAGAGCAGGCAATGCTCTTGACCGCTGAGCCATCTCTCCATCCCTACAAACCACAGTTTTAAGGGAACAGAAGTCCCCAAGGAAGATCAGATCCAACAGGAGCTAGCTGACAGATTAGACAAGGAGGAGACCCTCTGGCCAGGCTGAGGGGCACATACTCCAGCGACAGAACTAGGGTGGGAGTGGCAAAAACAGGCTTCATGCTCTGTTCAGGGCACCTGACCCCGTTTTTGTTAGCAGCTTTCTTTGAGCTGTACCTCACATACCATGCAGTATGATCATTGAAAGCTCACCGATCGGGCTGGCAAGATGACCCATTGTGCTGTGACACACACATGTGCACACACACACTAAGTAAAATATATAGTCGGGTGGTGGTAGCGCACTCCTTTAATCCCAGCACTCAGGAGGCAGAGGCAGGAGAATCTCTGTGAGTTCGAGGCCAGCCTGATCTACAAAGTGAATTCCAGGACAGCCAGGATTGTTACACAGAGGAACTCTGTCTTGAAAACAAAAAAAAAAAATTCAATCTGTAATATTACTTTTTTTTTTTTTGAAGAAAGCCCATTTGTCACTTAGTGGCTATTAGCACAGTCACAGGGTTGGGTTCCCAGTGACATTTACCTCAGCCCATAAAGGAATCCCAAACCCCTTGGCCATCACTATCAGTCTTCCTGCTGGACTTGACGACTACTATCTTTCTGGCGCTGTGAACTTGCTGTTCTGGGTTTTTTCCAGAAACATGCTCATACAGCTTAGTGCTCTCATGGTTCATCAATGTGATGGCAGACATCCAAATGATGCTTCTTTGTTTTGTTTTGTTTTTTTAAGATTTATTTGTTATATATACAGTGTTCTGACTGTAGGCCAGGAGAGGGCACCAGATTTCATTACAGATGGCCGTGAGCCACTGTGTCGTTGTTGGGAATTGAACTCAGGACCTCTGGAAGAGCAGACAGTGCTCTGAACTGCTGAGCCATCTCTCCAGCCCAATGCTTCCTTTTAAGATTTATTTTTAAGGTGTGTGTGTGTTTGTGTGTGTGTGTGTGTGTGTGTGAATGCAGACTAAAAGAGTGCATTGAACCCCCAGACTGGATTACAGATGGTTGTGAACTTTTGGGGTGTTGGGAACCGAACCTGGGTCCTCTGCAATAGCAGCCTGTGTTCTTAGCTGCTCAGCCATCTCTCCAGCCCCCTTTCCTACTCTCTTACGCCTTGGCTCCTTGGCTGTGCTTGCTTTGGTTCTACATTTACCAAGATGCAAACTCACTGTGTTTGGTTACTTCACCTCTCCAGAGAAAATGTGGCCAGAGTTTCTTTATCCATTTATATTGTTTTTATTCTTGTTCCATACTGAGTGTTCCTTATCCTTTATACCAGTGGTTCTCCACCTGTGGGTTGTGACCCCTTTGAGGACCCCTTTCACGGGGGTCGCATATCAGGTATCCTGCACATCAGATATTTACATTACAATTCATAATAGTAGAAAAATTACACTTGTGAGGTAGTAACAAAATAATTTTATGCTGGGGGTGACGACATGAGGAACTGAATTAAAGGATCGCGGCATTAGGAAGGTTGAGAGCCACTGCTCTATACATTCCAGACACGAGTCTTATGCTCTGTGTGGATGGCATTGATTTCTCCCATTATTTGGACTGTATTTTATTTTCATTTGTTTGTTATTTGATTATTTTGTTTTGTTTTTGAAATCGATTTCTCTGTGTAGCTCTCGCTGTCCTGGAACTCATTCTGTAGATGTAGACCAGGCTGGCCTCAAACTCACAAAGATAATGCTTTGCCTCTGCCTCCCAAGTGCTGGGTTTAAAACTCTTTTGTATGCCAACACCTAACCCTTGTCCTTAAGCCTATATCAAAATATCTTTTTTGAGCCAGACAGTGGTGGCACATGCCTTTAATCCCAGCAATCAGAAGGCAGAGGCAGGCGGATCTCTGTGAGTTCGAGGCCAGCCTAGTCTATAAAGCAAGTTCCAGGACAACCAGGACTACACAAAGAAACCTATCTCAAAAAGTCAAACCAGGGCTGGAGAGATGGCTCAGTGGTTAAGAGTACTGCCTGCTCTTCCAGAGGTCCTGAGTTCAATTCCCAGCAACCACATGGTGGCTCACAGCCATCTATAATGAGATCTGGTGCCCTCTGGTCTGGTGGCAGACATGCAGAAAGAACACTGTATACATAATAAATAAATAAATCTAAAAAAAAAAAAAGTCAAACCAAACCAAACCAAACCAACACCACCACCACCAACAACAACAAAAAAACCCAACTGAATGGCCAATACCTAGGCATTAAAGTAAAAGGTGGGGCTGGCAGGCAGAGAGAATAAATAGGAGGAGGAAACTGGGCTGGGGAAGAAGAGTGAAGGGAATAAGGGAGAAGGAGAAGGAGACAACCAGGGCTGGCCAGCCAGCCAGGCTGCCGGTGCCAGCCAACCAGACATGAAAGAAGCATGAGAAGTAGGACATAGAGAATTGAAAGGAAAAAGCCCTGAGGCAAAACATGGAGGAAACGAAACAGGTCAAGTTATAAGAGCTAATGGGAGAAGCATACGATATGGGTGAGCATGCATAACTAATATTAAGTCTCCATGTTCTTATTTATGAGCTGATTGGTGGTCCAAAAGAAAGCCTGATGTACTGGGATTAAAGGTGTGTGCCATCACCACCGATTTTTGATGACTGTCCTAGTGTTCTCTTGCTGTGAAGAGACACAGTGTCCACAGCAACTCTTTTAAAAAGAGAGCATTTAATTGGGGCTTGCCTATGATTTCAGAGGTTTAGTCCATTTTGGTCATGGTGGAGAGCATGGTGGCATGCAGGCAGACATGGTGCTGGAGAAGCAGTTATACATTTGGTCTGCAGGCAGCAGGAAGAGAGAGCCAGTTACACTGTGTGCTTTTGAAACCTCAAAACCCTCCCCCAGTGTCTCTCTTCCTCTAACAAGGCCATGCCTCCTAGTCCCTCTCAAGTAGTGCCACTCCCTAATGATCAAGCATTCAAATATGTGAGCCTGTGGGGGCCATCCTCATTCAAACCACCACAGTGATGAAGAAGTAGTTATAAATCAAGGCATTGTTAAACCATTGGCAGGTGGGTGACGGCAAAGCTGGGAAGTGTCAGGTATTGGCCCCAGATGCTATCTGAAGACATTCTCAGCTTTTTCACTGGTGGAAGCTAGTGGTACATTCCAAAAAGATTTATCTAATAGTCATAAGGATGTTAGGTCACACACAGAGGTGGGCAGTAATGGCTATTTAGAGGGTCAAGATAGTCCCAAACCAATCTGGCTCCAACCTGAAATAAACCAGTTTTCCACAATCTATCAACTCCATCCAGAGTTTCATACAGGTGTGGCTTCCCCCCTCCCACACCCAATAGGGTGGTTTAAATAAGAATGTCCCTAAGGCTAATATATTTGCATACTTAGTCCCCAGTTGATGAACTGTTTGGAAGGATTAAGGGGAGTGTCCTTGTTGGAGGTGGATAATAGGAACGGGCTTTGGGCTTCGAGGGTCCCCCCAGTTCCATATTCCCCACCATGATGATAATGGACTAAATCTCTGAAACTGTAAGCAAGCCCCCAATTAAATGTTTTCTTTTATCAGAGTTTCCTCCGTCACGGTGTCTCTTCACAGCAATACAGCAGTGACGAAAATACCCAGGAATTTTTAGTTCACAAGTTTGATTTTGACTCCTGTTGAGCTAAGCCACTGGGGCCTTGAACACAAGTAGATTACAAAAAGTACAGAGGGTGGTGGAGCAAGATTTCTCCAGAAGCCTCTGAGAACCTTCTTGGGTTAGCAGGGAGGAGGACATTCGGCTGAGAATATGCACGTACGAAGGCTGGAGGGAGAGGCTGCAGAGAAGGCACAGTTTAGCCTATCAGCCGGCCTGGCCCAGGGTATAGGAGTTTGGCCCCCAACCAGATTCCGGATTAGGTTCTGGTCTGCACCGCAGGCTTTTCAGGGCTCGCAGCATCAGGGTTCTGACCCAAGGCGACCGGCAGAGGGCACTCGACGAGGAGCAACCGAGGGCTGGGAAGCGCTGCTTCTAGACAGAGCTGGTCATAGAGTCCCGTCAGTTCCGGCCCCGAGAGGGCGGGGAAGAAGCCGGAAGTTGGGTGAGCTCAGGCGGTCGCGATGGAGGAGAGCGAGTACGAGTCGATTCTCTGTGTCAAGCCCGAGGTCCACGTCTACCGCATCCCGCCGCGGGCCACCAACCGTGGCTACAGGTGACCGTTCTGGCTTAACCTTTCCCCTGCCACCCTGGCATGCACTGCGGGATTCAAGGACGGGCTGTCGCGTTTAGGGAAGGAAGGGACATAGCCCAGTGGTTGCTTCCTGTCGGGGCCAGACCCAGGAGGGGTAACTGGCCGTGAGGTGTCAGCCAGCTCTTGGGGACCCGAGTGTGCTGCGGGGTCCACGGGTCGTGTCACAGCGCTAACCGACAGCCTTGAAGGGATCCGCGAAAATGCCCAGCGGGAGGGAACCCGACACTCCGAGGGACCCGTCCCTGTCTTTGGCTTTCTTGGTCCCTGTTTCATTCCCCCCCCATCACAACAAGCTGCAGCTGGGCGGACCCAACTGCCCTTGTCTTGAGTAGGCGTCACCTGAGGCAAATCAACACAAGTGCCTATGAACATATGGCGTGTCTCTGGAAGGGAACCCAGGACTCCACTCTAGGAGGGGGGAGACCCAAAGTTGTACAGACATTGTTATTGTTATATACCTCCCGTACGTACTCTTGGCATCACCTATCCAAACAAGATGA